CATATATGTAAACAATTTTATAATAAAAATACAATTATGTGTCTAAAACAACGCAATTCAACAACAGGTTGCTTAATCCTTAATTAATATTCTTAATTAGTCCTCCAATGAAGTATTTCACAAACATTTCGTGTTGTTTCAAAATTTGTGCCGTATATATCTAAGTAATGTGCGAATTTTTTTTTTTTTTAAATTCTGCTCCCTGTTTCACAGTATTTTAATAACCAGGCTACGGAGCTTTAGTACTGACACTGAGTAAGCTATTATCAGTGTGTTAGTCATCATATTGTTTACATTTATATCACCGTAACAAATCACCCAAGGTGAACTACAGGTATACTTACGTAATTGATGACGTCACAATACGCCTATATATTCATTATAATTTAGGATTGTTCTGTGATGTCGCCAGATTGGACACTGCCCGGCGACGGACAGAGTCAAGGAGATGAAAAACCTTCATCATCAAGGAGTGTTACGTCACCTATTTACATTTTATGGTGTGACTAGCACGTGTCCCAAAGATGTGTTCATTTTAATTTTTCCTTTGTATTTTCACCTAAATGACTTGTTAATAAAAAAATAATCTCTAACGAAACGACAAAACACTTTGTCGTTATAATTTCACAAAATATACCATAAACCCAGTGAGAAACAAACAATGGATGATTAAAATATGTCACCATCTGAAGTCGGTTCTCTTACATTTCCTGCTACTAGCGCTACCATTTTCGGAATACACCTGCATTAAACGTATTTACTGTCATCATCAGTGACGGAAGACAGCTGTATTTTAGCACGTGCATTAATTCGCCGAAATTGCTATCTGATCTATTCAAATATTTCATTTAAATTATATAAATAATTGTTTAGATAATCGATTTCCTAAGTGGTAGAAAAAAACAATTTACCGATAATTTACGTAAATTCAAAAAATTGCTTTCATATCAATTGAAATGTGGTACTATATTTCCGTACGGAAATTCTACAGTCTGTGATTGGTTGTTTTTGTTTCAGCGAGTCGTAGTTCATTAAAAATCCTTAATTACTCTGCACGTGACTTAACTGTACTGATGACACGTGTATAAGTTCTGACAAGATACGAGGTTTGCCATTTGTAGCCATTGCCATGTATATTTTTCTTTTAACATAGACAATTGGCAATTATGTTGAACTTAAAGTATTACTGTTATCAGCTAGAATGCTCTCTATTCATTTAATTACTACTCTGTCGATCTACCTGCCTGCCTGTCTGTCTGCCTGTCTGTCTGTCTTCAAGATACGTCAGTATCTCCATCTGTATCCATATGTATTTGTCTGTCTGTGTGTCTGTATTTCTGTCTGTGCGTTTGCGAGTTTTGCGAGAAATTATGTCTGGCCGTCCGCTTGCCGTCTTTATCTTTCAGACCATGTTTCTCAGTCTGTCTTTCTCTGACTGTGGCCGTCTGTATCCATTTGTATGCTTTTCTGTGTTTATCGCTATAGTCTGTATCTATCACTGTCTTTTTCTCCCTCCCCCAATCCCCCCCTACCTCATAAAGTAAATGTATATGTATGTGTATTGTTTTTTAATTTACAATTTACAAAATATCTAATATTGCGTTACTTTTTGTATCGATAACTGATAACGGATGTTTGTATAATCATGTCATCATCCGCTTATCTCAATATAACAACAATATCTATTGTTTACCGCCGACATTCATTGTGCTATATATTTAAAGCCAATGACAAATATACATATTTACAACATACATAGATAATGTAGTATGAACACTGTAGAACTAAACTACATCACCGAATATTTTTCTCATATAATTTGACAGAGGAACTGAAATGACAATGGAGAAGTTTCGTTTCGGACTATTTGGATTTCTGATTTTACTTCAACTCTGTTCCGGACAAGGTAAATAGTCTGTAATTTTTTATGTCCCCTTCAATTCCACTATTTTTTCACTCAATTATACAAAAGAAGTCAAGGGGTAGATGGCATTTTCACAATGTACACTTATTGGTACTGTTGGTTCATACTAACATTGTGCTAAGGAAAGAGTATTTTGTAAGCGGCTCATCACTGACATAAAAAGAATATTGAAGTCTAGTTTACATAAATCATTATTGAAAATCCTCAAATCTACAGCATCATTGGTTTCGTGCATATCCAAGGGTATATTTTAAGGCTTTTTTTAATTTCTGTACCTGTAACGACTTGTATATTCAGTTTTTTCCCCCAGTATGTTCAAAGTACGAGTCTTTGATTTGGATAAGTGTTATTGTGAACATACACTGAAAATTCGTGTGGTGTGTTTTTTTCGGTTCTTGTAAATATGATAAACAAATCGTTTTATGGTATTTTATCAAAATTCACATATTCACGTTCAGATTGCCTGCAGGATATATTATAGCCCAACCTAACATTAGCAGTGTTCAGACAAGGTCAGGTCATTGTATTTCAACATTTATTCACATAAATGAATCAACAGCCCATATTTTGAAATATATACTTAACGAGACGTGTTTACGAAACACTAACACTATGCTGCAACAAAAGCCTTAATTGGGATGTTAAAACTGTTCTGTATAAGGCATGTGCTAATTGCATGCACACTTTGTGAAACACTTATGTTTTCTTTGTGGTAATGATTTGGCAGTTTTAGATAAATATTTATGGCCTATGTGAAATTTCTTTTCAAATGTAGGTCAAAGGTCACGGTCAAGATCACATGGTCAAAAACAAATTTGGTACCACCGGAAAGGTCTTGTCACAAAAAAACACACATGTCAAATATGAAAGACTTGCCTCTTATGGTGCAATAGTTACGAACAAGTTTAAAGTTGACAATAGACAAACAAACAGCACAAGAACAATATGCCCCGACCTTACGATCCAGGAGCATAGAAAATACTGAACATACCGCAGTTCTTTTAAGATCTATAGTTGTAATTAATTGTTTATATAGACAACAAAATTAATTAGTCGCTACCCAACATATTTGCATATGATTGACGTTTCAGGTCTTTACTTCAGACACAAGAGACAGAAAGGTTTTTATATGCATTATTATGTCATTTTTTATAGGGAACAATCAACAAAGTATAGTAATAAACGACAGCACAGTGAAGAAAGGTAAGCAAACATGTCATATTTAATATTTTAATTTTGACGATTTCTTTACGAAAAAAGTTTTTTCCCCTTTTATCTAGTGACGTCATTTTTGTTTATATATTTATCTATTCAAGATTAATCAATTCATTCATCCTTTTTTTCTAATTTGATCGAACTCCTTTTTCTTCACTCACTCTTCCACAGATGATTGTTTTTATACATGGGAGGCCTGTCCTCTGTCTTCGATTTCCAAAGACTGTGACTTCTTCATGTACTTTAATACAACAGAGTTGAACCAAACAAAGTTGTATATGAAAATAGACTTATTTTCACATTGTGTAAGTAATCATTTCTTTATAATTTATTTCCTAATGCTAGGCGTTAGCTTTTCTCCACAATAATATATTTTTCGACATTTGATTCAGACTGGCATGCTATCACGTTGTAACATTTCATATTCCCATCAAACATTTGTATTGTGTGACAAATCTGTTATTTCTATTTTACAGAGTTTTACTGGAAAACTTTGCAATCTATATTGCGAGGTATTGTATTATTTTTTTACTTCATAAACCTTACTTTGAATCAAATATATGAGACTATATTCATCACTTGTTGCTAGTTATAATGCCAATAATAGACAGCAGTACAGTTTGACATAATCTATCGCGAAGGGTACAACTTGTGGTTAACTGCAGAGAACATTACATTTGGTCAGGACGTGTTTCCATTCGCCGTAATTTCATTGGGTCGGATGTTTTGGTTTCGTTTGAAATTGAAGAGCTCTTCAAGAGAGGTCATGAAGACCTTGCAAAGTCCTTCAGCTTTATATTCATATATATTGATGTCGTCTTGTCTTTAAATAGCAAGATATTTATTGACCATGTCCATCGTGTATACCACAAGATGTGGAAGACGAATACTTTCTATATCAATTGCTTATCTCTATCTTTTCCCTCAACGAAACCAACATGGACAGTTTCACACCAAGCTGTATGATAAGCGTGATGATTTCAATTTCCCTATTGTAAATTTACCTTTTCTGTGACACAATTACCTTACACCCCAAACCTATGAATTTGATATGTTCGATATTCAAGGGCCTGATCCCAAACTCAAGAAGTTCGTGATATCGTCAGCTGACAGACAAATTCATAACACACGTTTTCAAGAATTGTAGTTTGATGTAAATTAAGTAAATATTCTTTTTCAAGGTATGAAGCTGGACGTGTTTAGTGCCAGTTAATTTGCCTGTTGTTTCCGTAGATGCTCATTTTAGAACGCTATATTACTATTTTGAATTGACCAAGATTTACATGGCAAGTGTTATTGATGAAGCTAGCGACGTTTACTCTTCCGGAACACATGGTCGTATTCCTTGTACTTTATTCAAATGTTGCCCTATGTCTTTTAAATTCAAGCTTGAATTATGGTTATGGTCACGTTTTCAAGCATGGTTGTTTTACTATCAACTAGCTGTGCATGTTCCCGCATAAAGGATTACACAAATCCCTTTGAAGACCTTCTTGGTCTAACTGGCAGGTTTTGTCCTGGCATCCACCGTTTTAGACAAGTTGTCTTCTGTATTAACCTATACTCCTGTTTCTCCTGCTGACAGGAGATCATCTATCAGGAACAGATGAACTTTTTCGTGTGAAATTTTCTTTCATTCTGAATTCATTTTCGTTTCCTCGATTTTAAGTTTGCGAGAAAAGCTTATTGACGAATTGTCGGTATTTTCCTGTTGTTATCCGAGGTTTTAAAAATTTATTTACTTTTACATCCGACATGGGTTGCAGATCTGATAAATTATAAGCTTAAATATATGTGCATAACAGTGAACATTAAAGTGACTGTGATCAATAAATGATTATATTCAATTTACTTTTTTCAGTCAGGGACATCATCTGCAGTGTTTTTCCAAAGGATTGCTGAAAACGTCCATCCAATAACTTTCAGCCAATCCTCGTACGAAGTTGATGTTCCTGAGGTAGGTACCTTTTTTTTAAACGTTCCTATGTGTAAGTTATCGGTAATATATCATGCATATACATCTTCAATATTTCAACACTAAATTAAAAAACATATGGATATATAAGTGGGATGACAAACATCTAGGTAGATTTACATACATTTCATTTTATTGCAGTCGACTGGAACCGATGCAGTTCTACTTGAATTAACTTCAAATATGACAGTTAGAAAAGATTGCTATTACAATGACGTCTCGCCGGTATTTGCTATCAAGGTAATACATTTGATTTACAATATATCTGATTTTTCTGGATGGATTTGGTGTCTGTTATCACTTTAACAACTCTCTTTTTTTTTATCACATCAGAAACAAAATCTCAAGTAACTAACAATTACACCCGAATGAACGAATTTTATATATAGAGCAAGATTTCTCAAAGATATATATATTATCCATATCACAGTGTCTGACATTGTTTGAAAGACGTGCGATAATTTGGTATTTTTTGTGTTTTTTCAATGCAGACACATGAAGATTTATTTCAAGTAAAGGGTACTAAGCCGCCCGGATTGTATTTAAAAGAGAGACTCGATTACGAGAAAAACACAATTTACAACGTCACAGTAGAAGTCATTGTAAGTAAATAAATATCACTGTTTCATTTTTTGGTCACCAACAAAGAATGCAATTTTAGCCATTGCCGCCGTTATCTGGTATGAATTACTCGCGAAACAGTGTTATCAGTGTTAAACTTATTACCACTTCAAAGGAGAGATAAAACCACCTCATATTAAACCTTCGCTCCATTTGAATTTTACCGAATTGAATTTCAAAATGCCGAAAAGATGGTGTCATTTTAACTGGCCAATACCACCAACCTTATCATAACCATGGATGTTATTTTATCAAATTCAGACTTTCATATATAATGCAAGACACAGTTTGAAAAGCGGTGTCATATTTTCAATCAACACGTGTCCATTTTACCGGGCAAGCATTTACACTGTGTATTTGCGTTATTTGTTTTCCAGTTGTATGACCAGACCAACACGACAGAGTTCATTATAAATGTAATAGACGTTGATGACATGGATCCAGTGTTCTTGAACGATTCATATAGCCTACACATAATGGAAAACGTAAGCTATTTGGTAGACACCATAATGTATACCCTTATCTGTTCTTTTTTACCCTTCATTCCAACTTTACCGTTATTTTTATCATTTTCCCGGTTTTCATCACTGCTTTGTTAAAATGATAAGAGAAAGCAGTGGATTAAGCACATAGACGATCAGGTTTCACATCCGTAATCATTCATTATCATGTCTAGACTCATTTGCCCGACTCTTAAGTTTTTTTTGATACTCTGGCTCCCCCCACAAATAGGCTAGACAACTACCTACCGCTCCTACCACGACCATCCCCACATCACACACAATATCCCACGCACCATCTCTACCACACTCATTTCCCACATCACACACAATATCCCACGCGCCACCACTATCCCATCCAATCCCTATCCCGTAACCACATCACACCCCATACACACCACGCACCACCTCTACCACACTCATCCCACATCACACACAATATCCCACGCACCACCCCTATCCCATCCAATCCCTATCCTATCCCCACATCACACCCCATACACCACGCGCCATCTTTATAACACTCCTCCCCACACCACACCCTATACTCCACGCACCAACCCTATCCCATCCAATCCCTAGCTCATCCCCACATCACATCCCGTACACCACGCACCAACCCTATCCCATCCAATCCCTATCCCATCCCCATATCACACCCCATACTCCACGCACCACCTCTACCACACTCATCCCACATCACACCCCATACGCCACGCACCTCCCCTATCCCATCCAATCCCTAGCTCATCCCAACATCACACCCCATACACCACGCACCACCTCTACCACACTTATCCCACATCACAACCCATACACCACGCACCAACCCTATCACACTCATCCCACATCACACACAACAATCCATGCACCAAGCCTATTCCATCCAATGCCTGACCACGTGGGTTTTCCACGGGTACTCCGGTTTCCTCCCACAATAAGACCCCTCCCGCGCTTACATCCGGGCCAACGAGAGTGATTAGTATAAGTTGACATAACTTGTTTCGCAATTGTTATAAAATAAATAAAGTTCATATTTATAAAGTTTATATTTATCCAATCGCTGCCATGCTTCGATCCATTTCACCATGATTCTGTAAGATAAGTTGGTACGTTACAATGTTTTTCTTTATTATAGTACTGTTGTCCAATATATCAACTCCACTTAAAAACATTTTACATTATAAAGGTATAAAAGGGGGCACTATTTTTGACAGGATACAGATCACGTGAATACTTGGCTTTGGACAACACCTGCTATTGCGGCAGAGGATAGAGACAAAGGTCAAGGACGACAAAATCTAACATTCAGTATATCCTCAGGGTCAAACGGTACGGCACTTGAATCTTAAACTTATTTTCAATAACTATGACACAGTTCATTTCTTTTACTTCATTTTCCCTATCAGTCAGTTTAATTTCCTTGCATGCTTAAAATTGTGCTTTACTGTTTTAAATGGAAGTAAGACTTAATTCAATATAAAATGAATTCCAATATAATATCTCTGACTTTTCTCTTTTTATATATTTTGTCATCTATCGTTGTATAAATAAGTTGAAGAAATTTCGCTCATGAATTACATTTGACGACATAATTAACGATTTGATTAATAGCGTCAACACTATCATATCTTAGAAAAACAGGCTATTTGAGTGAAAATTTTGTAATCATGAAAAGTATCCTTGATTGGGGAACATATAAAGAGGGAATTAAATATCTTAGAATATAAAGCCATCTTGTCTAAAATCAGCTCGCTTCCAAACCTTTCAATGGAGCTTTTGACCTTCCGAATCGTCCATACTTTAACTCTAGAGTATAATCCATCCTGACCCTTTCCTTTATGTTTAACCTCATATATTGTTGGAACATTGTTGTGAGTTTATCATGTATCCGTCGTAGTACGAGGTACGTATTTATTTTTATTACATTTTACAGTTTAAACTGCACGATACTTGTGTTTATGTACTTATGAACGATATGTGATATGTTCTTGATTTAGAGATCACTCGAAACAAACAAGTTCAGAATATGACTTGAATATCTGAGGTATAAAAAGTAGGTAAATATAGAGACTTACATAATCTGTAATGGTCAGATTTAATTGCACATCTTGAGCCATTAGGGAAAGGTAAGTATGGTAATTAATGTCATCTTTATAAAGAGAATATTTAACAATATTTTTCTATGTTTCTATTTATTTGGTGATTTTATGTTATGAAGCTGATAAAATATTATTTCTTATGTAATGCTTCATTCCTAACTATGTAGGGTTTGTTTGGAAAATAAATATCAAACAATCATTGTACTTAACCTAATAGTTTGTCCATTTTAAATGCCTACATATGACACGTTCTTTTTTTTTTAAATAACTTAATATATTATCATTATCGAGAGTGATATATACTTTTTGTGTTTTCGGAAGATATATCTTCTAGAAAATTTAGTGCATGATTCTTTTCTCTTGTTTACAACTGTAAACGGAAAACAAAAGTATCTACATATACATTTGATTTGTGTTCTAATGAAATTTTTATAGATGTATTACTGATAGTTTAGGGTACATAATAAATTTCATGTGTATGGTCTAATAAGCTTTGCAACATTTACTTAATACTAGAAGATGGTCTATTTGCCTGCAGTTTAAAGCTTATTAAATCAAATGAAAACTCACATTTTTGTCTTAATACCAAAGTATCATATACTCTTACAATGTAATGAAAGACGAAAATTTACTTCCAAAAAAGTTGCCTCGAAAACAACAGAGAATTATCATTTTGGAATATAATAATAATATATGGAAATAAATTTATTCCTGTGACACATATTCTGACGCCTGTACCGGCAAAAAGGTAGTGCATTAACATATTGATGTTTTAATTTTCCTCTAAGTTCTTACATCAAATCTTTCAAAAATGCATTGTAATATTGGATTGTTCATATTTCTCAGAGGAATAAACACGCCCTTTAAAGCTTTAAAATGGAAGAGAAAACAAAACAGTTAAATAAAATATCTTTTTGATCTGGATAATCAATTCGATTGAAATGTGAAACGAGATTCATTTTTGCTTTTTGTCACAAACCTTATAAATTACCGTGTAATTTGGAAACCGTCTCCCATCAATATTGTCAATATGACGTCTTCTGATGAATCACAACAGCTACAACAACATTTTGGAACTAGAAATACCTACTGTGAAACACCAATAGTTTCAGAAAGAAACCCCATAAGAGAACTTAATCAAGAATTTGAAATGATTAGAAGTCGTTTGATTGTAAAAATGTATTAAGTATTATTCATATCATCTGGTTTTACAACACAAATGAAAAAGAACTCCTCGTTAACTGATTGTACATTTGTACAAGATAATCTTGCACAAAGAATTTAATGTAATTTTTTTTAATATTTTTCATACAGGTAATTTTCAAATCAACTGCACAACCGGACAAATACGTGTTACTAAAGTTCTATTTTGGAAAAAAGACGAGCTCAACATGTATCACCTCACCATACAGGTAATTTTGACGTCACCTTGCAATCTTATGATTTCAAATATTTAAAAAAATAAAAACAAATTGATTGTAAATGTTCTCGAATGATCAAAGGTCCAGATACGATACTATTATATATGTTGTTTTGTTTTCGTTTAATTTTTTTGAAAATTATATCGTGATGTAATTTATGCAGGCAACACAAGATAATGACCCGAATAGGTACGCTACCTCCTTTCTTAATGTGTATGTGAACGATACCAACAACCACAGACCAATTTTCACCAACAATCCCTACAAGGCTGTTATCGACGAGCATGCTCGTGTAGGATCCCACGTCACACAAGTTCATGCGGAAGATGGAGACGAGGTTTGTCTTTCTTATCGCGAAAGAGACTACAATTAAAATTCATAAAACAGATTGTGGCCCTTTCCAATATTTCCGCAGACCTACACCCATTTGCTTCTATAGTTCTGTTACCCAGCGAAAATTTGAACCCTAGAATAATCAAACGCGAAAGACAATATCAACATGGTAACAGAATATTCACTCGAAATTATATTCTAAGAAAATAGAGCAAAATAGGAACAAAAAGCTATTTAAAAACGTAAGAAGAGAACATGACCAGGTGTTCTGAAAAGGTAAACGTCTTCTGCTTCACCGCCGACACCGCCATGTAAATCTTGGGTCAATCAATGTTAGTGTTGTTATATTTCTAAAATAAGGTGAACAATATCGGATCTACCAAGTATGAATTCTTACCCTGTTTCAGTGTCAGAAATAACCGTGTTCATGGTACATGTTAATACCCACCACAATCAGAATACATTGATACAAAGGACTCTGTATAACTATGTCAATCTCTATAAACGTGATCTTTTCCTACGATCAAACCAATAAGGACAGCTTTCCAGCATTATGTTTATAAAAGCGTATTGATTAGGTACGAGTGTATGACGTTAGACAAGTTTATCATTCTCATTCAAGGGCCTGTTCCCATCATCACGTTTTCGTGCAAGAAGTCGTCAATTGACTGACAAACTCGTAACACAAGGATTCAAAGATGCAGGTTGATGAAAATTATGGAAACCTTTATGATCACCATAGTGATCTCATTGAGAAATATTCTATTTCTTTGTGTGACATGAAGCTTGATGTATTTGATGCTCGTTAGTTTGTCTATTGATTCGGTTGTCGTATACCTTGCTCTCATTTGAGAACGTGACATATCTAACTTGGATTGATCAAGAAGTAGACGACGCTAACTCTTCCTAAATGCCTTGGCCATGTTTGTATTTTCTTGATGTTTTACTTTTTTTCCGTTGCTGTCAACCATGTTCTCAATCTTAGTAACAGAAGACGCTTATCCTTTCGAAACACCTAATCTTAGTAACTTAGTAACTCAATTTAATCTTTCTTCTGCGTGTATTTTATTACTGTCCTCTCCTTGATAATGGATTTAAATAACGTTTTTATGAATATTTCGATATTTTCGTATTTCTTATTTTTTAAAACTGATAACGTTAACTGAAAACGCTTCATATATTTTTCAGGGACCGTTTGCTATCACATCTTATAAAATTATTGGTTCTGTGAGGCTCTTTGCTATTGACAGTCAGACTGGGATCATAACTGTTGCTAATTCCACCGGCTTGGACAGAGAAGCATTTCCGAATATAACGTTAGAGGTACATGTCATTTTAAAATGAGATCCTTTATTACTTCCATTAGGAATACTTATTATTGTTTTACTACATATCTTGCACGGACAACTATACCATTATCTTTTATATCCTATCGGAATACCCTATTTGCATTCGAATATCTAGGCGGCTAATATAGAGAACACCTTAACCTATTATAATATCAGTAAGAAATAACTTTAAAGGATGACAAAACCTTTTGCTTAAGTTTTTGGACTTTTTATGACTAAGCAGGAATTAATTATATGTGTGTCATTGTTTCACCTCCAGGTACAGGCTATCGATGTGAACGCTAATGAAACTGGTGACACCACTTTTGTTGAAATTACACTTCATGACATTAATGACCACACACCGAATTTCACAAAAGGTTCCTACATCTTTCACGTCAGCAGCTCTGATACTGCACAGGTAGATATATATATGTATATATATATATATATATATATATAATTTCGTGACGTCATATTCGCGGTTAATTTAATATTGCAATATCACAAATAAAGGTCATGACCTATATATCAACCAATGAACTATTATCCCACAGTACCATCATCCATTTTTTCATTTTCACATAAAAATTTGAAAATTGTTTTTATAACGTGTTCTGTTCTGAAGCAGTGCAATCGAGAACCTCACAACATATATGGTTCATATTCACTCCATAGTATTATAACATTAATTTCTACACATGATTAGACTCTGGTTTGGATGGTATATAGGACAAAGAGGATTAGGTGTGTTATAGACATTTTCTCTTCTTCTGGTGATCAACCCACTGGGTAAGATATAAGGTTTCAAGACTCCTCACAACGTGTACTGATAATAGATGTACTTACTGTTATGCAAGGCCATTTCTTTATTTCACAAATCCACAGTTTACACAACACGATTTTAATAAAAGGAGAATAAACAGAAAATGTATACAAGTGAATATATGTTGCCAACGGGGCTTTTTAACACATGAAAGACCAAACAGCCCACGTCAACACAAGAGTAGCAAAGTAATTAATATATTTTAAGAGATTTTTTTTCGATGAGTGTGCAACAAAATAATTAAATTTTTACCTATGACGGTTTTATGTCTCGCGACAGGTGCACGCTAATGACGACGATATTGGCAGAAATGGGCGTGTATCATATGAATTGTTCATGGAGCCATCGACACCTCACGTGACTATAAACAAGGACAATGGAACTATAACGTTCATTAACATCCGCGAAGATTTAACGTTTTCTGTGTCGGCATGTGACAATCCGATCATCACAAGCAGCCGGTAAGTTCTGTGCATGTTTTCTGACTGAGAAAAGATGAAAACATACAATCAACTGTGTGTAAAGGATGGTTGAAGGGATAGTGCAATGTCTATTTTGGAAATTTCCAATCACGCGAAAAATGTGACCACAAAAATTAGATATCTAGGAGAAAACTAAAGTTCATATCGAAATATAATCTTATTTTCCGTATAATTATTTTCTCTTCAACTCATATCACCCACAACTGAAATATTATGATCACCGTAAGATGTTTATTAACGAATGTAATTTTGATATTTCAAACAATGTGAATACTATCTTATTACATGTACATGTGTAATTCATATCAAAGTATATTGTAAACGAAAAAGGATATAGTAATAGTTTGATTGGATGTTACTTAACATTCAATTTCAAATTGTACATCCAGGAGATGCTCCATTGCTAATGTGAAAGTTTTCCTTAACGGAACGGTCGCCGGGACATCAGTCAAGAACATGTCGGTCGCCGAGAACTCACCAATAGATACTATTGTGGGAAGTTTAGACGTAAGTTATATAACTAACACACCAGGGTACACCGCCGTAAGTTATATACTTAATCACCAGGGTACACTGCCGTAAGTTATATACTTAATCACCACGCGACATTGTCGTAGGACGTAAGTTATATACTAAATCACCAGGAGACACTGTCGTAGGACGTAAGTTATATACTAAATCACCAGGAGACACTGTCGTAGGACGTAAGTTATATACTTAATCACCAGGAGACACTGTCGTAGGACGTCAGTTATATACTAAATCACCAGGCGACACTGTCGTAGGACGTTTAAACGTAAGTTATATACTAAATCACCAGGTAAGTTATATACTTAATCACCAGACACTGTCGTAGGACGTTTATATACGTAAGTTATATACTAAATCACCAGGAGACACTGTCGTAGGACGTAAGTTATATACTAAATCACCAGGAGACACTGTCGGAGACACTGTCGTAGGACGTAAGTTATATACTAAATCACCAGGAGACACTGTCGTAGGACGTAAGTTATTTACTAAATCACCAGAAGACACTGTCGTAGGACGTAAGTTATATACTAAATCACCAGGCGACACTGTCGTAGGACGTTTTAACGTAAGTTATATACTAAATCACCAGGAGACACTGTCGTAGGACGTAAGTTATATACTAAATCACCAGGAGACACTGTCGTAGGACGTAAGTTATATACTAAATCACCAGGAGACACTGTCGTAGGACGTTTAGACGTAAGTTATATACTTAATCACCAGGAGACACTGTCGTAGGACGTAAGTTATATACTAAATCACCAGGAGACACTGTCGTAGGACGTAAGTTATATACTAAATCACCAGGAGACACTGTCGTAGGACGTAAGTTATATACTAAATCACCAGAAGACACTGTCGTAGGACGTAAGTTATATACTAAATCACCAGGAGACACTGTCGTAGGACGTAAGTTATATACTAAATCACCAGAAGGCACTGTCGTAGGACGTCAGTTATATACTAAATCACCAGGAGACACTGTCGTAGGACGAAAGTTATATACTAAATCACCAGGAGACACTGTCTTAGGACGTAAGTTATATACCAAATCACCAGAGGACACTGTCGTAGGACGTCAGTTATATACTAAATCACCAGGAGACACTGTCTTAGGACGTAAGTTATATACCAAATCACCAGAAGACACTGTCGTAGGACGTAAGTTATATACTAAATCACCAGGAGACACTGTCGTAGGACGAAAGTTATATACTAAATCACCAGGAGACACTGTCGTAGGACGTTTAGACGTAAGTTATATACTAAATCACCAGGAGACACTGTCGTAGGACGAAAGTTATATACTAAATCACCAGGAGACACTGTCGTAGGACGTTTAGACGTAAGTTATATACTTAATCACCAGGAGACACTGTCGTAGGACGTAAGTTATATACTAAATCACCAGGAGACACTGTCGTAGGACGTAAGTTATATACCAAATCACCAGAAGACACTGTCGTAGGACGTAAGTTATATACTAAATCACCAGGAGACACTGTCGTAGGACGTAAGTTATATACTAAATCACCAGGAGACACTGTCTTAGGACGTAAGTTATATACCAAATCACCAGAAGACACTGTCGTAAGACGTAAGTTATATACTAAATCACCAGGAGACACTGTCGTAGGACGAAAGTTATATACTAAATCACCAGGAGACACTGTCGTAGGACGTTTAGACGTAAGTTATATACTAAATCACCAGGAGACACTGTCGTAGGACGTAAGTTATATACTAAATCACCAGGAGACACTGTCTTAATTATATACAAATCACAGAAGACACTGTCGTAGGACGTCGTTATATACTAAATCACCAGGACGTATATACCAAATCACCAGAAGACACTATCGTGTCGTAGGACGTAAGTTATATACTAAATCACCAGGAGACACTGTCGTAGGACGTAAGTTATATACTAAATCACCAGGAGACACTGTCGTAGGAGACGTTTTAGACGTAAGTTATATACTAAATCACCAGGAGACACTGTCGTAGGACGTTTAGACGTAAGTTATATACTAAATCACCAGGAGACACTGTCGTAGGACGTAAGTTATATACCAAATCACCAGAAGACACTATCGTAGGACGTAAGTTATATACCAAATCACCAGAAGACACTATCGTAGGACGTAAGTTATATACTAAATCACCAGGAGACACTGTCGTAGGACGTAAGTTATATACTAAATCACCAGGAGACACTGTCGTAGGACGTAAGTTATATACTTAATCACCAATGCTAATAACCAAGATGGTACATATTGCAAAAAAAAAAAAAAAAAAAGGTTTGATAGGTTATTTTAATTAAACTCATGTCTGCATATTTAAGAACGTTGGTTTTTGTATAGCATTGGATTATTGAATTAATGTTAACTCACTGAAAACCAGCAGAGGTCATTCAGATCCACTTGCTTGTTCATTCACATATGCTTTCTTTGGAAAACTATGTAGTTTCGATAAGTTGACTGAACTCACGTACTGTATGTTTACACGAGTGTACTTTCAATCATGTCATATTTTCGTCGTATGATATTGGTTTTCAAGGGGGTACCACTTAAATCTTGGAATAGTGTAGATTTTTTTATCTGACAGTTAACAATTGTATTTCAAAGTGAAAAATAACATTACTGATTATGATTATGTTAACATACACAGTTACAGTTATTGGGATTGAAACTGACTTCCCAAAATATTTCTGTATCAATATCCACTGATTGATGTGTCTTTAGGCTTAAATATCCATATCCTTTTGGGTTTTAGATTGATGACACAACATTCAACGTTGTACAACAGGACATTCCGTTCATAATTGGAAAGTAAGTAAGGAACAACCCATACGGTTTAATAACGACCGTTTTATGTACTAAATGTTATTCAATAGACACACAAATGAACAGTATCTTTTAATACTGAAATTACAAACTTTGCAGTGTTAAAAATATGTCGGTGAAAATTTATAGCGAGAAATTCATCATATTTTTAACTGCAGTTGTTTACATCAAATAACATATTTTCATATAAAAATGTATCTAAAGCTGCCTTGGTTACTCCGCAGTAGGGATTGATGGAACACTTTTAAACGAAACAAATAAAGAATTACATATTTCATTGTAGTGACCACTTGGTAAGAACGACACGTGTGTTGGACCGTGAGAACACATCCACCTACTCCTTTACTGTTGCGGTAACAGGAAAAGTAAGTAATTAAAAGACTTACAACTATCTTTGTATCTCCATTTCCTATCAGATGGACAGCTTTTGTATAAATCTCCTCTACGACCTGATCATCAAAATAAATCGATATAGGAGTATTACAAACTTAGGTATATTGAGAAACAAGTTTTATAAATAGGTGTTTATTTGTCGCTTTATAATTATCTAATCAGACCTACTACTCAATCAATAATTCTTATAACATCGGGAATTTTAGATTTTTTAATTAAAAAAAAAGGAATGGTAAATAAATAAAATGCATAAAAGGTTATCAATACAAATCTTCTCCTACTTCAGATCATCAGTAATATAACTGTTAATGTAGCCATTTCGGATGTGAATGACAATCCTCCAGTTTTCAACTCATCAGAGTACGTATTCGGTTTACCGTCAGGAAGCACCCCAGTTGGAAGTGTCCTGGTAAGTTCGCACTCTCGACATCTACAATAACAGCTGTCCTGAAAAATAATTGAGTTTACTCTTACTGAGATTGAAAAGAATCAGATGTCATTGTCACATCAAATAAGAACAACTTTCAATGTAAATGTGAAATTGGTTTCTTCGACCAATATCAACTGCCTTTATAATCAAATAAACAAGAATCAAGGTTAGGTTGTAAGTTGAGTGAAAAAAAATCATTCATGAGTGTTAATGATATATCTGGTGTATCATACGTGTTGAACAGTTTGGTGTAACACGAGCCTTTAAAATTGTGTCATACCAAGTCACAAATATGATATTCTATTCATCGCATCCAATGTAACTCATTTTCATGAGGCAAAATGAGTTTAGTTTAAATGAACAGAATTTTTTTCGCCGCTTAGAATATTGTCTTTTTTCCCATTACGTCACAATAATGTTAAAAGGAATTTTAAATGTGCAAATAAGGAATCTATATAATATGTGAAATAATAATGTACTTTGCAGAGCTGGTCTATTCTGTAATGTAATCAATCAATTCTTACTACCTGTACAAACAGAGGTAATCATTAATGGTTAATTTGCCATGCAATTGCTGCATCATAACTAGAATTCAAAATGACTAATTATAAAAAGGAATAAATCAACGAAAACCCGGAAATACTTTTTTATTTTTATTATCATTGACATTGCAATTGACTAAAAAATACCTTTTTGTTTCCTGCTGAAAATAACAAATGGACGATTGAACTAACCTAATATATTATGTCAATGACAATATTCATTGTGTTTGCAGGCAACAGACGTGGACCTGGGAGAGAATGGAAATATCTCCTACAGCTTCCAAAATTCATTGTAAATATCTAAACTGCTATTATTTATTGTCCTGCACTTACCCCGAATGAAAGTTTAAAAGATATGTTTGTGCACATGTCGAACAAAGTTATACTTAATTGTTAATCGAAAATTTAATACATAAATAGTTTTTCTTATTGCGCTCACTTCATTCTTGTGTAGGATGTTTTTTCAGAATGTTTTGATATAAAATGAATAAATTCAAAACATATATGACTTGTCTTTAATATAAGTAATTTTAGCGTGTATATGTATCATCACATGCATATATTTGAAATAGATTTTTTTTTGCGATACCACCAGATATGCAGTTGTTATAAATCGGCCTGGTACATACTATAGATGTTCTTTTTCCGACAAACATTTTTCCAAATAATTATTTATGGGATTTATGAAATGACAAATGCATACCTATTGAAATCAAACGAATAATTTTCAATGTCGACCTGATAAAGCAGGGTTTTTATTTAAGAGGTGTAACAAGATTAAACCACTGATTTAGTGATATGGCAAAAGGAAAAGTATTCAAATATGTGATTAATTATTTATGTAATATATTGTAAAGACTTACATTCTTTAATTGCAGTGCTGCCAACAAATATTTTGCTATTGACTCTCGGTCAGGGGAGATAACGCTGTCTGGTGTCAACATACCTTTATATCAATCTTCATTTCAACTTGGTGTGTTGGCCTCTGACAATGGTGTTCCGAAAATGAATTCCTTCTGTTCCGTTTACGTAAGACTATCTTATAATTTCAATTCATGTTTCTCATATTTTAATGATTGAGGCTTATATTGAAGAAAACCACCAATACATTTACTTTTAACTAAGTTAAAGACATAAGCCTTAGACTAATTATGTTTACAATATCAGTAATAGATAAGCTTTTGGAAATAGCGCTCAAAATTATTTATATATATTTTTTCAGTTACTGAAAAACATTGATAAGACTTTCATTTTTTTTTATTAAAATCATAATCATTTGATTGTTGTATAGACTTTGAATATATAAAATTTCTGCACCTAACCTGTATTAATATCTTTCATTTGCTTGGCAGATATCTCGGGTCACTATTAAGGGAAATTACACGGTTTCAATTGGTACTCCATTGAAGGAGGATGTCCTGAGAAGTAGGATACCAACTTTGGAAAGGTAACTGCAGCTGTGGAAAAGAATAAAACAAATCTACTTAAACTGTTGATCAGAAATAAAGAACAAAAGAAAGTAGGAAATGAGTAAAAGCCAAATCAGTAGCAAAGATACTCAGAATCTTGATGAAAATGTCAAAGGTGTTACAGAGGGATACGATGTTCCTGTACCTGATATTTTGCTTTTCGGATGTGAAAAGTCAAACGCACATGAGTCACCAATGAACAATGAAGAATAAAGCCCGAACAAATATTGGATGATGACGTCAGTTGTTTTTTCAGTTAGTTTCAATAGATCATGTGAACAGAATACATTAAAGTTTGTATTCATATTTTGAATTTTTTCCTAATTTCTCCCAATGATTTTTTTATTGCAACCATATACATTTTTAAATACTATCTAGTCTATTATCATAAAAAAAATGTAAAATAAATTCATTTGTGTCTTAAGTAGATTCCATGGGAAACATAGAGTGTTCTGGAAGGCTTTAGTCTCCACAATTTACCGTAACCCCGCTTGTTACCATTTGAATAGAGGCTAAGCTGTGCTCAATTCGATTCATATTGAGAAATGCTATTTACTTGTTTATCTTGTGGACAGTCCTTTGGCCATATTAAAAAAAATCCAGTATGTGTGAGAGTTGACACAAATTTCCATTGGATATGTAATTTTACGAATTTTATTAAATTTTGTGATCATGACCAATAATTATGGATCTAAAGAACGTAACATTTTCATCATTTCAGAGAAATAGGAAATATAGTTAATCTAACCATCACAGCAAAGGTGCCGACGGCTGTTCACAAAAGGGCGACAACCCCACAAGAATTCGGGTAGGTGTAAGAAAATCCAACCAAATTCAATAATACTTTATGGTTATATTATTATAAATAGTTCAATGAAAATGATCGATGCTATAAATTGCAGATCGGTGATCCGTTCAGACCAAATTGTAATAATCGCTTCTTCATCCAAAACGAAAACGCGAGGGAGCAGAAAACACGATGACCAGGGAGCGAGTAGACTACGGCGACGTAATGATATTTTTTCTATCTAGATTTCTTGCTATCGTACTCCTGCATCCTTGCTATCGTGTTTCCAATCCCTCGCACTCTCGGGTGTAGGTGGAAAGATAAAGAAGCGACAATCTGAAAATGGCATAAATGGACCACCATATTGACGCAATTTCTGACCGAGTCGAGTTGGTTAAAGTTTGAACGATCTAAACATAAGAAATGATTAGTGAAATATGTGTTTATGTATGTTTTTGATTTAAGGGCAACATTACAAATATCAGCGATGTATAAAAATGGGACACGAGTACCAGCAAATGATCTTCAAAGGTATGCATCCTTTTATGTTTTCTAAGTATCAACGTCCTGCATATCTCTTAATCATATCTCCGTTGCTTATGCTTAAAAAAGTGCAATTTAATCTAATATAATTTAATCGAAATTAAAATCAACAATATTATCATTATTGTATGCATATGATTTTTAAAAAAATCAAATATCAGTTAAATTAATTAAGAAGTTAATCTTTATATGAATTTTATTAATTAACTTTCATTCTAGAGTGGTGTTGGTTCATCTGTCCGATATCGAGGCACTTTGGACTCAGGAAGCAAATGCTCATAAAGACAATGACAACCACTCTAGCGTGAGCGAGATAGCGTTAATTGTTGTGGCTGGTGTGATGCTTCTTGGAACCTTGATAGCATTGATAGTACTAACCGTTAAGTGGAGACAGTATGTAATCAGGTTTCTTCATTTTGTACCCTGATCATATCTTGACGGGTCATTCCTCCAAACTTGTATTAATCACCAATATCCTCTTACGAATTCGCCCTTCTTCACATCTTTGCTCATCCTACACAATTTACAGCCCCGATGTGTATCATTGATTTCCAAAACAAACCCCCAATACACAATGAGGCAGCATCAAACTAAGCAGCTGAGTGAAAAACGCCGGACATTAGATACTCAAGCACCCCCAGATGTATCTCACAAAATGGATTTGATAAATGCAGCTGACCAAACACAAATATACCTAGACACGTAGACAAAACACAGAAATAAAACAAAAACTCCTCTAAGGTTTTTTTCCATTTCATTTCCTTATTATATTCCATATGCATATTGATGGTTTTATTCTTAAATGGAAGAGCGAGGTGTGTGTTGTTTTGGATATCCTTTCATGAGAAATGGGGAAATCATATTGATTTCAAAAACAGGCATAAGGTAAACCTTTTCACATGAGCTCGAAATCTGAGATCTATTGCAAACGAAAAGGTCATGTATTTAGGATATTTACAGAAATGTATTGCTATTACAGGTTCAAATCTCAGGAGAAGGTGCTCAGGCTGAATGAAAGTTTGACGCGTCGCAGCTCTTTGTATGAATCACAAGAAATCAAAGTGAGGATTGATGATGAAACATCCGACTACAATGGGTCTCTAAATACTCAAGATTTGGAGACGTACGAAAATGGACATCGCCCTTTAGGGGAAACGAACGCCTTCGAAAATCCAGTCTACAAAAGAGACGACTTTGATGAAACAAAAGTGAAGGCTCAAGCTATTAATGAGGCCCTTTTGAGTCTAAACTCCCTGTCTGACCGACTAGATGAAGAGGACCCATTGGCGCCAAAACCGGACTATGAGAAGACTGAAGAAAGTGGATTAAAGAATAATCCCGATTTGGATGAATATGTAAACAGTGTATGGACAGAAACCCCAGGAAGTACCGATTTGAATACGTACGACTCAGTGGATAGTGCTAAAAACACGAACAGTAACCCGTATGAGAATATTGAATTTGATGACGACTTCCCTAGTACGAGTGGTTTTGCAGGATTAAAGATCGATGGGAAGATGATTACTAGTTCTGGTGAAGGACACGAGGATGATGTTTTTATAGGAGAGGAGGACAACAACGATGCAAGATACGAATCAGAAAATGAAGACATACCTGAGGATGAACCGGATGTAGACTATCACCTGAAACAGGTGAGATTCGCTAACAGAGTAGTTAACGCTGATACAAACATTGCAGAGGAACTGAAACCAGATAAGTCTGAACTGGAGAAAGAAACGGACAAAAAAGTCGCGTCAACATACGATGACAATGACGATGATGACGACAAAGTGTTTCAAATTAATACTGACTCAAACAACGAATCTGATTACGACGCTGACTTCCAGGTAGATAACGCCGATGCGTCGATCCGAATGGACGAGGAAATAAACTCGCCGTTAGACTTTCTCAAAAATGACGATAACAACACAGAGACGTTAGAGGACAGCGGGACGTTTGTATTCGGAGGAGAGGAAACCACAGCTTTGTAAATAGCAATCAACTTTTGTGTTTTATGGTTTTGTCTTTCTCAACAAAGAATAAAGCGTTCAAATGAAGCAACAAATGCTTCTGAAATATCTCTGGGCAAGCAGATTTGGATCTCACATCGTTAAAACTACAACGTAATTTAACATAAAAAGCTGATCATGGTGAATGGCAGAAATATAGAATTTGTTGCATTTTTGCGAAAGTAAGAAAGCGAAAATGCCCTCTATTACTTTGCTTGTTATCAAATGGATAAAAACAAAAAGTATCGATTCACTTTTTTTTCGAGATCCTTAGAATTATCATTTCCCGTCGATTATAAATTTGCCTGGAACAAAGTACGTGTGTGATATCTTTATATAAGGTATATTTCAGTATAAAAATATACAAAATGCAGTATTACAAATATTTACCACTTTGCGTGGTGTTACGCGAATCCATTCATTACTTGATAAATCTGTGGAAATTCGTGTGCTCTATATTCCCATGATAGATATCACAGAATCTCGATCGTTGAGAATACTTGCTTGATTTCCATGTTTCATTTTTACTTCATGATATAGATTAACCATAATATGTTTTATCTTATCAATACTTATGTTGTCATAATCTTTTTATTGCGTGTTTCCTTTTCATAAAATCGTATTGTCTCATTTTTGTGACCAATGACTTCCATTAAGCTAAAAACCAATATCATGCCAGATTTTCTAATACACAGGCAATGTTTGTTCATATCTATTTGTGTCGATTGTGAATCAGTTTGAAATTCAAGAGTCTAAAAAAATCTATAATGAGCTTCATGATTTGCTAAACCAAAATGTTATTTTCACTTTCTGTACACCTGGAAGGGGTTCTTTACTTAATTTGCATGATATTTGAAATCAAAATTGACGAACCCTTTTTTAAAGTCAAAATTTTTCTGAATCGACCTGAAATTTAGGACTTAGTCCGAAATCAAATAATTTTTTTATCTGAAAAACAATCTTGATGAAAATTTGTCATGCCTTTCATGTATAGTTCAACTAAATATTTGGTGTTAGAAGGTTTATTGCAGACTCATCTCGGGAAAAATATTATTTTATCAATTTTGACAAGTCCCACTTGTTATGTTAAAAGCTTGATGCGTGTGTTCTTGAGATGCTGTTTGAAGATTATGTACAGATGTTTTCTAAGGTTTAAATTAGCGAACATGATCAATAATGTGTATATCTGATGGTTTAAATGGTCTTACACTATGAGGGTTTAAATTGTGATTTTAAAATTGATAATATCACGCTACAGTTTAAACACTGGCGTTCAGGATATTTTCATTGTAAATTTAAAAAAATGAATATTGTATCATACTTTACATAGTTTTTATTTTATTATTTGTAAATAATGGTGGTTTAATATTTGTATTGCTTTTTTACTTGCTAAAATAAGTTCGAAGAAAATATTAATTGAATTTGAAACAGTGAATGTTCGGACATAAAAATTTAAATGGTATGGTCGATAATGATGAATGTGAATAGGATAATAGCGTAAAATTAGATTGTTGACCGATTTCATTTCAATCCTTACCTTAGTCTAATTTGTATAGTTCCTATCTGGTAAGGACTGAGGAAAACGAAAAAAATAACTGAAATATCTATTATATAAGTCAAGCAAAATTGTGTGGAATCTCCAACAGATTAGATTTGACGGACATAACACAATCATCCACCAGAGTCCCTTTGCTTAATTTCAACCGAGTTGAGTTATCAGTAACAGAGGCATGTAATACAGAGGGATCAGTGACTGTGCATATTTCTTTTTAACGCTATAACGAAGACGTTCCAGCTGACTAGAGTAGTTGTGTTATAAACCGTTTCTCTCAAATGAATAGTAGTAGAAAGCATAACTATTTTCAGTCTGATTGTGCAAGCTTTTCAGACAAAACATTGACGTCTACATTTGATATTTAGAATATGAAATTAGTGTTACTGTTTTTTACATCAGAAATATAACTCTATGTTATATAAGACTTTCAGCCAAAGATATGTAGGAAATAATCTTTAAACAGATAACATTGAAAAGCTAATATTTTTCCCAATGTAATTTATGTGATGCGTTAGTTTCATTTATTACTATTATTTTTGTTATTAAAATAATATTTACTTTTCACTCGTCATGCCGATCAGCATGGAAGTGAATGGGACATAGGTAGATAAAGTTAGATAAGAACGTTAAGAAGAGATGATTTCACGGCTCAGTGAACAAACACAACAAATTGCGCCGGAGACGTTTCCATTTTGCCTAGTCACTTATCCTCTGTAATATGCGTCCCTGAATTTAGTTTCAATGTAAAGATAAATATGTATGCACACAAGCTTATGTTAGAAGTATTCACTTTTCTTTGACAGTTTGATGAGAAATGATCCTAAGTTATTATCTTGGTAACCGTAATCAGAAAGGCATTCAAATGTCTTGTGATAGTATGCAGAATTATATTTATATAATTAAATCAAATCCGAAGATTGTTCTTCACGTGCCAAAAAAGAATAAAATTTATCTTAATTATATAAGCTTTTTTTATTGTTTCAAAATAGGTCAATCCATGTACATTATATCTTATTTTCTGAATGTAATGGTGATACTTTAATCAAACTACATAATTACTAACCTGAATAAAAACTACGACTCTGTTGGTTCTAAGAAAATTGATATCGCTCTGAACATGTTTTACAGTAGCCTTATACACCTCCAAAACCTTTGTCCTGCAGTGTATCCAGGAATCATGATAATATAGGAAAGAAACAAAGTCTTAAAATATCTATTTCATAATTAACCATTTAATAGACCTATTTTATACAGTGGAACAGTTAAATAATGAAATCATAAATTTGATTGTCAAAATAAGCATTGAATTCGTCCAGCAACAACCATATGACCTCTTCATAATTTGAAATAAATATGCGAATATTACGTTTCTAAACAAAACCTTACACCTTCGTATACCGTATACGGAGAAAATTACTTCATGTTGTTTTCGCCCTTTGGTAAAAATATTTGTGTTCGACCACTAATAATATCATCTTAAAAACAAAATATATTTCAGCTGTAACTTTATTTTCGCCTTATAGACAAAAGGGCGAAATGGGCGAAAGTTACACTGAGGCAGAAGTTTTACCATGATATATGAACTAAGCATACGGACATCACATACTGTAAAATGAGATATTTTCGAGGAGGGCAATTTTTGTAGATTTTTGTGGAATTTTATTAATAATCCTCGAAAAATAATTATTTTACAGTATTTTAACTAACTTTGCTAATTTCACGTCTTTGCCTTAGAACTGCCTCCATTATATATCAGAAATAAACATGTTTATATCGCATCCCAATTATTGTGTCAATATCACACACTTAAACGAACCTGTAAGGAAAACAATAATTATAACTTAACATTAATGTGATTTAAACTAAATAAGTGAAATCACATGAATGACCAAACACTGTAAATATATCCGCCATTTGAAATGAAATCGTAATATATATTAATTTATATACATATACATAAACGTATGGATGAATTCACGATGAAATATGTGATTATTACACTTTAAAACAACATATGTGACACAAATGGGCAGCTTTGACAGGTAAAATTTCGTTTTGAAATAATTATAGACTAACAAACACAGATGTGACACTTTATATTAAATCATTGCTCAAGTGCGGGTGATCTCAACGGAGAATATTCTTATAATATCGACAAACGACAAAGAATTAAACAAAGCATGATTGAATAATTGATGTACTTATAGATAAATAAACATATGTATTTATCCTAATTATATATTCCATTAATCAAATAATCAACTCTGGAGTAATGGCGTCGCTGCCAGCCATCGTAACACCTCTTCCCCACTATCGCTGTTACAGCAAAGAAAAAGAGGACTCCGAAGGAGAGAGCAGCAATTAAGGCCGTTGACACAATAGTAGGGTGATTTACAAATGGGGCGTTGTAATTATCCGGCAAATCTGTAACAAAAAAAAAAAACGCATACACTATTTAAAATTATCATTCAGAGAAATCAGAAACTTCAATTTTCAAAAACCTGATTGTACTTATTGTAATATCGAGTTACACGTGTTATTGCTTTAAAATGTTGAACAAGTTTTCGTTCATTTTCACTAACAGGTTTCCAAAAGTTTAACTATTTGGATTTTAAGATTGACTATTTCAGAAAAACAAACAGACCATTGATTCAACATACAGATTTTGTAACCTACAAAAATCGAAATACATCAGATAAACAAATAGAATGTACAAAACTAAAACAGTTATCTACACTTAACTATCCCATGTTACTTCTTAAATTAAAACAAAGTTTCACCAGTAAGCTGTAATAGATATACAACGGTCGATGACAGAAAATAATGCTGATAAATTATAGCTTTTATCAATATATCAATATAAAAGCATTATTATTTACTAAGAACATTTTCAATAAATCTATTTTATCATTCAGATAAAGCAAGCAAAGTGGAAATTTTTTTTATGGCATAGGTTTGCAATATACTTTTAATTAATTCGCTGATGCAGGGTACAATTTCGTTTGAAATTGATAAAAAAAAATTCATTATCTGATTAAACCCAAACGTATACTATATACAATATATATATCTACGATAACTTTAAAGATAAGCATGGAAATACAGGAGTTCACTTTTTCGATGAGTTTTTGGATATGATATATATGAAAGATAAGAAATCTTAAATTATTTTCGCAATCAATAACTCACACTAAATTTGAACTTTGTGTTTTCATATTTCAAATACCTTCTACTGAAAGTGGAAAATAAGAATAATTGCGCCATTATAAAGCGAAATGGAGAAATCCGGGTATTTTTTAAAACTATGTTTTCAAAAGTGAATCAATCATTAACAAATGAATTATAAATGACTTTTAACTTTCTGGATAAGAAAAAAAACCCAGCTTGTATATTTGCTTTTTTTCAAATCGTGAAATATTTCGCAATATGTAGTGAAATTGTAAGGTTTTCCAGAAGAAACATTTTACCTTATATACTTCATGAAGATGGTTAATGGTTATAAAATTAAAAAAAAAAATGTCAACAAAAAAAAAATAAAAATATGACGTCCCATTTTCGAAATTACATACACATAAATATGCCACAGTATAACAATAAATAAAAAGAGAATGAAATTTGGGTTTGTCTGTATACTGCAAACCATTTTATTATCGCGGCTATTAATTGTTAAACCCCTATACTATTTCACGGCTAACTATTTTCGTGATACTTATTCTTTTTGATTGGTGTGTTATGGAGATACGTTCATGGGGATTTTTATTCCAATGATATATGAGATTTACTGAATGAAATTTCACTAATATTTGTTGGTTTAAAGTATCTAGTAATCAGAGTAGATTTATGGGTGCAAATGAAAGCATATTTATTTTGGATTTAAATTAATCAGTCATCATGTTATTGCTTAAATTACCTTCTTCGAGATCAATTTCATCATATGGAATAGTAGTAGAAGGAATCACTTGTAACAATGGTGATTTGGTTGTATGGTCGTGTGGTTTCGTGATGGACGATGTAACAGGCTGTGATTGTGCTGGATGGTCATAGTCTGTGCTAGATGCCGTAGAAAATTGTTTTGAAGTTGTGCGAGGTTGTGGTGGAAGTGTACGTTGTTCTGAAGTTGTGTGTGGTGGAGTTGTACTTTGTTCCGATGTTCGATGTCGGTGTTGTGGAGTCGTATGTTGTGAATTTCTATGTCGATGCTGCTGAGTAGTACGTTGTGAAGATTTATGCTCATGTTGCGGAGTCGTAAATTGTGTTGTATGTTGGTGTTTTTGTGAGATTGTGTGTTGGTGTTCGTGAGTTGTACGTTGTTGTGAAGTTGCGTGTTGGTGTTGTTGAGTTGTACGTTTTTGTGAAGTTGTGTGTTGGTGTTGTTGAGTTGAACGTTGTTGTGAAGTTGTGTGTTGGTGTTGTTGAGTTGTACGTTTTTGTGAGGTTGGTTGATGTGGTGTGGTTACGTGGTCATCGACTTTGGTTCTGATCTGGGTTGTGCCTGTTGGTTTAAATAAATTTTGCGAAGAAGATATTGAGGTACTTGTTCGATCTATAGACGACTTTGCTGTAGTTGTAGGGTTTTTCGTTCGGTCTGTTTTGACTGTAAATTGTGCCGTTGTTAACTTCTCTGCTATTGTAGACAAAGCAGGGACATTTGTCGTGGGTGATTCAGTACCATCCGTTTCAAGTGTGAACTCTGCCGTTGTGGACATATCTGCCGGCGTAGTTGTTGACATCGCTGGGACTTTTGTCTTCGGGGTGTCAGTGCTATCTGTTACAAGTGTGAACTCTGCCGTTGTGGACGTATCTGCCGGCGTAGATGCTGGCATCTCTGGGGCTCTGGTTTTCGGGGAGTAAGTGCCATCTGTTACAAGTGTGAACTCTGCCGTTGTGGACATATCTGCCGGCGTAGATGCTGGCATCTCTGGGGCTCTGGTTTTCGGGGAGTAAGTGCCATCTGTTTCAAGTGTGAACTCTGCCGTTGTTGACGTATCTGCTGCCGTAGTTGTTGACATCGCTGGGGCTATGGTTTTCGGGGAGTCAGTGCCATCTGTTTCAAGTGTGAACTCTGCCGTTGTGGACGTATCTGCTGCCGTAGTTGTTGACATCGCTGGGACTTTTGTCTTCGGGGAGTCAGTGCTATCTGTTACAAGTGTGAACTCTGCCGTTGTGGACGTATCTGCTGCCGTAGTTGTTGACATCGCTGGGACTTTTGTCTTCGGGGAGTCAGTGCCATCTGTTTCAAGTGTGAACTCTGCCGTTGTTGACGTATCTGCTGCCGTAGTTGTTGACATCGCTGGGACTTTTGTCTTCGGGGAGTCAGTGCTATCTGTTACAAGTGTGAACTCTGCCGTTGTGGACGTATCTGCCGGCGTAGATGCTGGCATCTCACGGGCTTTGGTTTTCGGGGAGTAAGTGCCATCTGTTTCAAGTGTGAACTCTGCCGTTGTGGACGTATCTGCTGCCGTAGTTGTTGACATCGCTGGGACTTTTGTCTTCGGGGAGTCAGTGCTATCTGTTACAAGTGTGAACTCTGCCGTTGTGGACGTATCTGCTGCCGTAGTTGTTGACATCGCTGGGACTTTTGTCTTTGGGGAGTCAGTGCTATCTGTTACAAGTGTGAACTCTGCCGTTGTGGACGTATCTGCTGCCGTAGTTGTTGACATCGCAGGGACTTTTGTCTTCGGGGAGTCAGTGCTATCTGTTACAAGCGTGAACTGTACCGTTGTTGAATTCTCTGCTGGAAGGAATGTTGAACGTGTCGAGTGTAGAAAAGTTGACGATCCGGCCGTCGTGTTTTTATTCGTACCTGACGCGAGTGTCGTGTTTTGAAGTATAGCTATTCCTGGTGTTGGACTAAATATTTTTATTGTAGGTGAGGAATAGTTCCTTGCTACAGGTTTGTGTGTAGTAGGTTTGACTGTTGTGACTCTAGACATTGTAGAATTACCTGGTTCAGGTCTAGCTGATGAAGGATGTATTGCTACAGGTTTTTGTGTTGTAGGTTTGATTGTTGTGACGCTAGACATTGTAGAGTTACCTGGTTCAGGTCTACCTGATGAAGGATGTATTGCTACAGGTGTTTGTGTTGTAAGTTTGTCTGTTATGACTCTAGACATTGTAGAATTACCTGGTTCAGGTCCAGCTGATGAAGGATGTATTGTTACAGGTTTTTGTGTTTCAGGTTTGACTGTTGTAGAGTTGCCTGGTTCAGGTCTAGCTGATGAAGGATGTATTGTTACAGGTTTTTGTGTTTTAGGTTTGACTGTTGTGACTACAGACTTTGTAGAGTTACCTGGTTCAGGTCTAGCTGATGAAGGATGTATTGTTACAGGTAATTGTGTTGTAGGTTTGACTGTTGTGACTACAGACATTGAGGAGTTACCTGGTTCAGGTCTAGCTGATGTAGGATGTATTGTTACAGGTAATTGTGTTGTAGGTTTGACTGTTGTGACTCTAGACACAGTAGAGTTACCTGGTTCAGGTCTAGCTGATGAAGGATGTATTGTTACAGGTTTTTGTGTTGTAGGTTTGATTGTTGTGACGCTAGACATTGTAGAGTTACCTGGTTCAGGTCTGCCTGATGAAGGATGTATTGCTATAGGTGTTTGTGTTGTAGGTTTGTCTGTTGTGACTCTAGACATTGTAGAGTTACCTGGTTCAGGTCTAGCTGATGAAGGATGTATTGCTACAGGTTTTTGTGTTGTAAGTTTGTCTGTTGTGACTCTAGACATTGTAGAATTACCTGGTTCAGGTCCAGCTGATGAAGGATGTATTGTTACAGGTTTTTGTGTTTCAGGTTTGACTGTTGTAGAGTTGCCTGGTTCAGGTCTAGCTGATGAAGGATGTATTGTTACAGGTTTTTGTGTTTTAGGTTTGACTGTTGTGACTACAGACTTTGTAGAGTTACCTGGTTCAGGTCTAGCTGATGAAGGATGTATTGTTACAGGTAATTGTGTTGTAGGTTTGACTGTTGTGACTACAGACATTGAGGAGTTACCTGTTTCAGGTGTAGCTGATGTAGGATGTATTGTTACAGGTAATTGTGTTGTAGGTTTGACTGTTGTGACTCTAGAAATTGTAGAGTTACCTGGTTCAGGTCTAGCTGATGAAGGATGTATTGCTACAAGTAATTGTGTTGTAGGTTTGACTGTTGTGACTCTAGACATTGTAGAGTTACCTGGTTCAGGTCTAGCTGATGAAGGATGTATTGTTACAGGTAATTGTGTTGTAGGTTTGACTGTTGTGACTACAGACATTGAGGAGTTACCTGTTTCAGGTCTAGCTGATGTAGGATGTATTGCTACAGGTTTTTGTGTTGTAGGTTTGACTGTTGTGACTCTAGACATTAAGGAGTTACCTGTTTCAGGTCTATCTGATGAAGGATGTATTGCTACAGGTTTTTGTGTTGTAGGTTTGACTGTTGTGACTGCAGACATTGTAGAATTGCCTGGTTCAGGTCTAGCTGATGTAGTATGTATTGCTACAGGTTTTTGTGTTGTATGTTTGACTGTTGTGACTCTAGACATTGTGGAGTTACCTGGTTCAGGTCTAGCTGATGAAAGATGTATTGTTACAGGAAATTGTGTTGTAGGTTTGACTGTTGTTACTACAGACATTGAGGAGTTACCTGTTTCAGGTCTAGCTGATGAAGGGTGTATTATTACAGGTTTTTGTGTTGTAGGTTTGACTGTTGTGACTCCAGACTTTGTAGAGTTGCCTGGTTCAGGTCTAGCTGATGAAAGATGTATTGTTACAGGTAATTGTGTTGTAGGTTTGACTGTTGTGACTCTAGATATTGTGGAGTTACCTGGTTCAGGTCTAGCTGATGGAAGATGTATTGTTACAGGTTTTTGTGTTGTATGTTTGACTGTTGTGACTCTAGACACAGTAGAGTTGCCTGGTTCAGGTCTAGCTGATGTAGGATGTATTGCTACAGGTTTTTGTGTTGTAGGTTTGACTGTTGTGACTACAGACTTTGTAGAGTTGCCTGGTTCAGGTCTAGCTGATGGAAGATGTATTGTTACAGGTTTTTGTGTTGTATGTTTGACTGTTGTGACTCTAGACACAGTAGAGTTGCCTGGTTCAGTCCTAGCTGATGAAGGATGTATTGCTACCGGATTTTGTGTTGTAGGTTTGACTGTTGTGACTCTAGACATTGTAGAGTTACCTGGTTCAGGTCTAGCTGATGAAGGATGTATTGTTACAGGTAATTGTGTTGTATGTTTGACTGTTGTGACTCTAGACATTGTAGAGTTACCTGGTGCAGGTCTAGCTGATGAAGGATGTATTGTTACAGGTAATTGTGTTGTAGGTTTGACTGTTGTGACTACAGACATTGTAGAGTTACCTGTTTTAGGTCTAGCTGATGTAGGATGTATTGCTACAGGTAATTGTGTTGTAGGTTTGACTGTTGTGACTACAGACATTGTAGAGTTACCTGGTTCAGGTCTAGCTGATGAAGGATGTATTATTACAGGTTTTTGTGTTGTAGGTTTCACTGTTGTGACTACAGACATTGAGGAGTAACCTGTTTCAGGTCTAGCTGATGTATGATGTATTGCTACAGGTTTTTGTGTTGTAGGTTTGACTGTTGTGACTACAGACTTTGTAGAGTTGCCTGGTTCAGGTCTAGCTGATGAAAGATGTATTGTTACAGGTTTTTGTGTTGTATGTTTGACTGTTGTGACTCTAGTCACAGTAGAGTTGCCTGGTTCAGGTCTAGCTGATGAAGGATGTATTGCTACAAGTGTTTGTGTTGTAGGTTTGTCTGTTGTGACTCTAGACATTGTAGAGTTACCTGGTTCAGGTCTAGCTGATGAAGGATGTATTGCTTCAGGTTTTTGTGTTGTAGGTTTGTCTGTTGTGACTCTAGACATTGTAGAGTTTCCTGGTTCAGGTCTAGCTGATGAAGGATATATTGTTACAGGTTTTTGTGTTGTAGGTTTGACTGTTGTATGTTTGGAAAAGGCACGTTGTATAGTAGTTGCGTTTGCAGCATTATCTAACACAGATGTATCATGTTTAGGTTCCTTAAGTTTATTAATTGTAGTAGGCGGTGTTGTAAGTTCAAAAGCAGCAGGTTTGGGCTTCTTAGAATCAACTGTTACAGCTTTAGGCGTTGTATATTGAGAAATAGTATACGTAGCTTTAACATTGAATGTTGTAGGCTTAGGCTTGGTAAGTTTGACTGTGGAAATCTTTGGCATTGTTAGGGTGACTGTGGAAGGCTTAGGTGTAAAAGGTTTGACCGTTGTAGGCTTAGGTGTAGAAGGTTTGACCGTTGTAGGCTTAGGTGTAGAAGGTTTGACCGTTGTAAGCTTAGGTGTAGAAGGTTTGACCGTTGTAGGCTTAGGTGTAGTAAGTTTAACTGTAGAAGACTTAGGCAATGTTAGTGTGACTGTGGAAGGCTTAGGTGTAGAAGGTTTGACCGTTGTAGGCTTAGGTGTAGAAGGTATGACCGTTGTAAGCTTAGGTGTAGAAGGTTTGACCGTTGTAAGCTTAGGTGTAGAAGGTTTGACCGTTGTAAGCTTAGGTGTAGAAGGTTTGACCGTTGTAGGCTTAGGTGTAGTAAGTTTAACTGTAGAAGACTTAGGCATTGTTAGTTTGACTGTGGAAATCTTAGGCATTGTTAGTTTGACTATGGAAGGTTTAGGTGTAGTAGGCTTGACTGTGGAAGGCTTAGGTGTAGTAGGCTTGACTGTGGAATGCTTAGGTGTAGTAGGTTTGACTGTGGAAGGCTTAGGTGTAGTAGGTTTGACTGTGGAAGGCTTAGGTGTAGTAGGCTTGACTGTGGAAGGCTTAGGTGTAGTAAGTTTGACGGTGGAAGGCTTAGGTGTAGTAGGCTTGACTGTGGAAGGCTTAGGTATAGAAGGTTTGACAGTGGAAGGCTTAGGCATTGTTAGTTTGACTGTTGTAGGTTTATGCGTGGAGTATCTAGTTGACACAGAACTAGGCGAAGTAGGTCTAGTTTGTATCGGTATATATGTTGTAGATTTTATCGTTACTGGTTTCTCTGTGGCGGTTTTAGTTGTAGATTTAGGCATTGCAGGTTTAACTATTGTATGCTTAGGAGTTGAAGGATTAACTGTTGGTTTTGCTGATACTGTTTTTAAGGAATCAGCCTTCGGCGTTGTTGGATTTTGTGTTGAAAATTCATTGGCAGAAGCACTCTCTTGAGGTTTTGTTTCTGGAATATTGAAACACCCACGTGATATATTCCATTTCCTGGCGCGTATAATGTATTTTGAGATGTGAATCATTTTCAAATTTTAAAATTCAAGGCAATCAATCGAAATTCTTCCATAACTGAATTCAGATCCCATTACCTCTGAGGATTGGATTACAGCATTACCGTATTTTCCATTAGGTTCGAATTCAGTGATGTGTCGATTATACGTTGAAAGAGATGTCACGGTCTCACACAAGATCACGACCTTGAGATGAACTTATTGGGCTATGAACGTGATATCTTGTTTTCCTTTCTAATACAGGTTGATCCAATTTTTTACAATAAAGTAAATAATGATTCTTTAGTTAGATAAACATGATAGTCGGCTATCATTTGTCTGGGAATCACTTTTTCCCTTCTTTAACTGGACGTCTAAGAAACAAATGCACATGAATTGAAAAATATATTTTCAATCTCAAAATACATTATGCTTTCAATTACCTAACATAGGTATAAGATAATAACAATGTAAATGTTTAATGTAGTTGATAATATTCTTATATTGTGCATATTTTTGAAAGTCAAGAACAAATAATTGAAAAAAAACAAAGGGGTGTTATTGGGTTTTTTTTTTTTTTTTTTTGCTTATTATTGTTATTTTTTTTAATGTTATTTTACAAAAGTCAACTTATATCTAACACTCCACTTTTATGCAGTATTTAATTTTCCAAATATAAGACCTGTCTATACATAGATTATTACGTTTCCTTTTCAAGGAAGACATTTTCGTTCAGATGCACTCACGCAACACTGCGTGAATAATTTGTGATATTTCGACGAGGAAAAGCGGTCCTATTGTGATGACACAACTTATTGTCTTTGGCTTTTGCCATTGTATGATTAGATTTTTTCACATATCTCAGACGAATACACGTATTACTAGTTTCTGTAAGAGACTAGTTTTTCCAGTGTATATAAATGTGCCATCGAAGTGAGCTTTTTTAGTATTGTATTTATTTTAATCACCTTTCACATGATGGGGTGGATTGGGTTGTTTGTTTTGTGTGTGTGGGGGGGGGATGGGTTCTGTCTTTTTACTTGACATTTAATACAAATTTAGCATTAATTGTTGTTAGTGAAGTTTAAACAGGAGTATATTTAACTAAACGGCTCACAAATAACTTTTTACCTAATGCTATTATACTTCAGTGCACGTTTGATAAGTTTGTTATCTACGAAATCTCACAAGTTTTACCAGGAATGTTGTTGACGAATAAGTATTAACACAAGATAAACTACGCAGTTTTTTAAAGATTAATATATCTCACTGATAATCAAGAAGCTGATATACTGTCTAACTGATTAGAGATTTCTAAAAAATGATAAACAGAAAAAATAATTGGATCTCATGTCATTGAGATCTTATCATATTCGAAAAAAGGTAAAAACGAATACAATTTAAGATGTAATATCTAAAGAGATCATTTTATGATATCAATGTTTATAATATGTTAGGCGATAACATACAGAAAAATTCAAACGTCAGTATAGAGTTAATTCCCTTTTGTCAACTCAAAGTGAAATTAATGCACAGAAATTAACACCTTTGTTTTTATTCCCGAACCTTGATTGGGTTTGCAATAAAATGTCGGAATGTAATGTCCCCCATTGGTTAGTCTATTTCATATGCTAAATAACTTATTGTGGAAGCGTTATGCAATATATAATATGTAAAGTAATTTTCACCCATTTAAAATATTTTTAATAAGTGCACAAACCTGAGCATCTAAAGATGAATACTGAGAGCGATCCTACTTATTCGAAACTTCATCGTTTGTGCACTTTTTAAATATTATATATATATATATGCAGTGTTGTAGTAGTGGATACCTCCTTGCGTGCAGAGTCAATATTTATGCTACATTAAGTTATTATGCATGAATTCAAAAATAGGGTTCTTGATGCACACTTCCAATTTTCAAACTTATTCCCATCTAGCGATATTTCAGTATATCGTACTCGAAATCATCAATGCTTTCTTGATTTGTCACTATTCAAATCAATTGAATCACAGAAAAACGAACTTAATATTGCCATAACACGGTATTTTATAATTCCTTTTGTATATTGAAATAGAGCAATATCAATGTTCGGGTTTCCAGAAATCGAAAGAATATCAGGAAAACCCTATTTTTGAATACTCTGAAAAATTGTGAGCCATTATTTACATTGCATTTCCCGCATATTCAGCAGTTTTTAAACATCGATATCATATTTCTTATCAAATTACTATTAAAGATAAAGTGACGAAACGTGCAGGACATTACCTTTTTCCAGGTCAATCTGTGGTATTGTGGTTGAATTGACATCGGCAGTTACTGTGTTTGAAGTTTCTTGTGTTGGTGGTGCGCTTTTGGTATGTGTTGTTTCAGAGAAATGTATATGAAGCTCTGTGGTCGATGGTACGGTTTGTTTTGACAATGTTTCGGGGAAAAGTGTATGTACCTGTGTCGTTTGCTCGTTAGTCGGTATATTTGGTGTGGTTGGTTTTGGTGATGTGTCTGGGAAAAGTGTATGTACCTGTGTTGTTGATCCTGTTGATTTCTGTATTGTAACCTTCAGAGTTGTTGATTTTTCTGTTTTATGTTTGGGATTTCTTGGTCTAAATGTTGTTGATTTCTGTGTTGCTGTCTTTGGAGGTGTTGGTTTAAGTGTTGACTGCACTGGCTTGGTCCGTTCTGTGCCAACTCGTGTCGCTGTAGGTTCTGGTTTCACTAAGTTTTGTGTGGTTGATTTTTCTACTTTTTGATTTGGTGTAGTTACTTTAATCTCCGTTTTTTTATTTTCCAGTGGTGTAACGTTAGTTATTGGTTTTTGTGATGTTTGTTTGCCATCTGTGGCTTTTGTTGTCATTGCGGAGTTCGTCGGTTTTTGTTCTTTTGCTGTGGTTAGTTTTTGACTGGTTTCTATGGGTTTCAGGGTGGTAGATTTTGCGTTTTCGTGTTTGGGAGTTGTCAATTGTTTTGTTTGTTTTCGCGTGATAAGTGATGGCGTTGTTTGTTTTTCCGTTTTTATTTCAGTTGGATTTTGTGAGGAAGGTTTGAGTGACGTTGATGGTTTTGATGTTGATTTCAGTGATGTTGGTTGCGGAGTTGTTGGTGAATGCGTTGTAGGTTTGTGAGTTGTTAGTTTTTGTGTCGAAGGTTTTTGAGTTGTTTGTTTCTGTGCTGTAGGATTTGGAGTTGTTTGTTTCTGTGTTGTAGGTTTCTGAGTTGTTTGTTTCTGTGTTGTAGGTTTTAAAGTTGTTTGTGTCTCTGTCGAAGGTTTTTGAGTTGTTTGTTTCTGTGTTGTAGGTTTTTGAGTTGTTTGTTTCTGTGTTGTAGGTTTCTGAGTTGTTTGTTTCTGTGTTGTAGGTTTTAAAGTTGTTTGTGTCTCTGTCGAAGGTTTTTGAGTTGTTTGTTTCTGTGTTGTTGGTTTTTGAGTTGTTTGTTTCTGTGTTGTAGGATTTGGAGTTGTTTGTTTCTGTGTTGTAGGTTTTGGAGTTGTTTGTTTCTGTGTTGTAGGTTTCTGAGTTGTTTGTGTCTCTGTCGAAGGTTTTTGAGTTGTTTGTTTCTGTGTTGTAGGTTTCTGTGTTGTAGGTTTCTGAGTTGTTTGTTTCTGTGTTGTAGGTTTCTGAGTTGTTTGTTTCTGTGTTGTAGGATTTGGAGTTGTTTGTTTCTGTGTTGTAGGTTTCTGAGTTGTTTGTTTCTGTGTTGTTGGTTTCTGAGTTGTTTGTTTCTGTGTTGTAGGTTTCTGAGTTGTTTGTTTCTGTGTTGTAGGATTTGGAGTTGTTTGTTTCTGTGTTGTAGGATTTGGAGTTGTTTGTTTCTGTGTTGTAGGTTTTGGAGTTGTTTGTTTCTGTGTTGTAGGTTTCTGAGTTGTTTGTTTCTGTGTTGTAGGTTTTTGAGTTGTTTGTTTCTGTGTTGTAGGATTTGGAGTTGTTTGTTTCTGTGTTGTAGGTTTCTGAGTTGTTTGTTTCTGTGTTGTAGGTTTCTGAGTTGTTTGTTTCTGTGTTGTAGGATTTGGAGTTGTTTGTTTCTGTGTTGTAGGGTTTGGAGTTGTTTGTTTCTGGGTCGAAGGTTCTTGAGTTGTTTGTTTCTTTGCGGAAGGTTTCGGAGTTGTTTGTTTCTTTGTTGAAGGATTTGGAGTTGTTTGTTTTTGTGTCGAAGGTTTTGGAGTTGTTTGTTTCTTTGCGGAAGGTTTCGGAGTTGTTTGTTTATTTGTTGAAGGATTTGGAGTTGTTTGTTTCTTTGTTGAAGGATTTGGAGTTGTTTGTTTCTTTGCAGAAGGTTTCGGAGTTGTTTGTTTCTGTGTCGAAGGTTTTGGAGTAGTTTGTTTCTGTGTTGTAGGTTTTTTAGTTGCTGGTATTTTTGTTGTTGGTTTAGGTGTTTCTTGTGTCTGTGTTGTGCGTTTAGGTGTTGTTTTGATAACTATTTACATGTAAAGATAAAACAAAAATACATACAGAGACAATAGCAAACAGATGAACACACAGGTAAGTGTATCAATCAAAAAAGAAGGTATGCTCTATGTATTAATTATAAAACGTGGTTTAATCAACAACTCTCAATGGGCCTTCATCGCCCACGTGATAGACTTTTCACAACTATATCTTATTCAACTTCCAAATTCTTGATTAACGAGAAGTCTTTTCCTTGTGACCCCCAATATTGTTCAAAGCGATTACTTTTCACAAATTTACATCCAGAATCAATAGAATGACCCCTGATCTCTTATTTATTCAATTCAAGATTCTTGGCCCAACGGATAAGTTGAGTTAAAAGATATGAGCAAAACGAGAAAATCGGAATTAATGGGATGTAAACCTAGATATTATTCACGTCTGGTACAACAAACAGCTGTCCCTTATGCCTAAAGGACAGATGGACAATTAGAGGTATTGTGAAATGTGTTTCTCTTCATTTAAAAATATTAGAATACATAAAGCCATGAAGGAATACGTGACCTCTGATTGAAGCGAATTTTCTACATACTATTGAATATAATAATTCTAGAGTTCACTATACCTTTAAGAGGGGTAATTAAGTCCATGGTTCACTATTTTCGGGGGTTCACTATCTACATGAAATCGTACTTAATTATTTGCTATTTCAATATCTAATAGCATCTGGCTAAACAGTTGCAAAACTTACCTTGTTGTGTGTCTGCTTCTTCTTCCTTCGAACTACTGTCTGAATTTTCAGTCGATGCCCGATTTCCAGTCGAATCGTTTTGTGTGTGTGTGGTGTCAGCTACTGCATCAGCCGTCGTTTCTTGCGGATCGTCATCAGCAGACGGTTTTGCCAAAGTGCTATCAGGGTTTGGCGTGCCTTTCGAGTTCCCAGAATGATCTTTGGGTGATGTCGGTGGGTTGACACTCTCATTAGAATTATCACTTGAAGTTGTCTTCGAGTCACCCGATTCAGTGTTTGAGTTGTCCGATGACGAAGTCACTTTTGTTTCAGTGGTGGAAACGTCTACTTTATTAGATGCACTTTCAGAAGATGTAGATTCTGATGCTGGCGTTTCATCATCGGTGTTTTCGGATGTATCTACACTTGGCGGGTTTGAACTGGATGGTATATCGTCTGTTGGTTTTCCTGGAGGTGTGTCAACTTGCGTTTCAACTGAAGATTGTACTGTCTCTGAGTTCTGAACAGTGTTTAGCACCGCAGAATCAGAAGATGATTTTGTTGTTGAATCTGTCTGTGCTGTGTCTGAAGATGATGCTGTATCTGATACAGTGTTCGATGTCACACTACCTTTTATAGTTTCTGATGTAGGCTTATCTTGGGAAGAATCTGTTTGTGGTGTGTCCTTGGGCGACACTGCTTTTAAGTTTGAATCTGAATTCGATACTGAGCTATCCCCTGCTGATTCCTTTGATGTGCTTTCTTTAGGAGAACCGGTTTGGGATGTTTCTGTACTTCCATCAGTAGACGAAACTGGAGTTTCACTTCCACGTTCAGTTGATGGCGTTTTTGGTACATTTCCTATTGTGGAACTAACATCCACATCGGTCTGACCAGATTTGGAATCATCATTTGTTTCTGTTGAAGGGTTTGATTCATTGTCAAATGTTCCAGAAGTGACAGACACGCCACTACCACTTGTCGCCGACCCAGGTACCACCGGGGCTATTTTGGTCTCCGAATCTGAGGAACCAGTTTTCTTCTAAAACCTCTATATAATGTCCCTAGTCTATCACTTCAGTAAAACCTCTATATAATGTCCCTAGTCTATCACTTCAGTAAAACCTCTATATAATGTCCCTAGTCTATCACGACAGTAAAACCTCTATATAATGTCCCTAGTCTATCACGACAGTAAAACCTCTATATAATGTCCCTAGTCTATCACTACAGTAAAACCTCTATATAATGTCCCTAGTCTATCACGACAGTAAAACCTCCATATAATGTCCCTAGTCTATCACTTCAGTAAAACATCTATATAATGTCCCTAGTCTCACCCATACCTCTATATAATGTCCCTAGTCTACAGTAAAACCTCTATATAATGTCCTTAGTAAACAGTAAAACCTCTATATAATGTCCCTAGTCTATCACGACAGTAAAACCTCTATATAATGTCCCTAGTCTATCACGACAGTAAAACCTCTATATAATGTCCCTAGTCTATCACGACAGTAAAACCTCTATATAATGTCCCTAGTCTATCACAAGAGTAAAACCTCTACATAATGTCCCTAGTCTATCACTACAGTAAAACCTCTATATAATGTCCCTAGTCTATCACGACAGTAAAACCTCTATATAATGTCCCTAGTCTATCACGACAGTAAAACCTCTATATAATGTCCCTAGTCTATCACTACAGTAAAACCTCTATATAATAATGTCACGACAGTCTATATAACGTCTATCACGAATGTCCCTAGGACTATCAACAGTAAAACCTCTATATAATGTCCCTAGTCTATCACGACAGTCCCCTCTATATAATGTCCATACAGTAAAACCTCTATATAATGTCCCTAGTCTATCACGACAGTAAAACCTCTATATAACGTCCCTAGTCTATCACGACAGTAAAACCTCTATATAATGTCTCTAGTCTATCACTACAGTAAAACCTCTATATAATGTCCCTAGTCTATCACGACAGTAAAACCTCTATATAATGTCCCTAGTCTATCACTACAGTAAAACCTCTATATAATGTCCCTAGTCTATCACGACAGTAAAACCTCTATATAATGTCCCTAGTCTATCACGACAGTAAAACCTCTATATAATGTCCCTAGTCTATCACTACAGTAAAACCTCTATATAATGTCCCTAGTCTATCACTTCAGTAAAACCTCTATATAATGTCCCTAGTCTATCACTTCAGTAAAACCTCTATATAATGTCCCTAGTCTATCACGACAGTAAAACCTCTATATAATGTCCCTAGTCTATCACACGACAGTAAAACCTCTATATAATGTCCCTAGTCTATCACGACAGTAAAACCTCTATATAATGTCCCTAGTCTATCACGAAAGTAAAACCTCTATATAATGTCCCTAGTAAAACTTCTATATAATGTCCCTAGTCTATCACTTCAGTAAAACCTCTATATAATGTCCTCTATATAATGTCCTCTATATAATGTCTAGTCTACGACAGTAAAACCTCTATATAATAAGTGTCCTCTATATAATGTCCCTAGTCTATCACTACAGTAAAACCTCTATATAATGTCCCTAGTCTATCACGACAGTAAAACCTCTATATAATGTCCCTAGTCTATCACGACAGTAAAACCTCTATATAATGTCCCTAGTCTATCACGACAGTAAAACCTCTATATAATGTCCCTAGACTATCACAACAGTAAAACCTCTATATAATGTCCCTAGTCTATCACGACAGTAAAACCTCTATATAATGTCCCTAGTCTATCACGACAGTAAAACCTCTATATAATGTCCCTAGTCTATCACGACAGTAAAACCTCTATATAATGTCCCTAGTCTATCACTACAGTAAAACCTCTATATAATGTCCCTAGTCTATCACGACAGTCCTCTATATAATGTCCCTAGTCTATCTGCAGTCTATCACGACAGTAAAACCTCTATATAATGTCCCTAGTCTATCACGACAGTAAAACCTCTATATAATGTCCCTATTCTATCACGACAGTAAAACCTCTATATAATGTCCCTAGTCTATCACGACAGTAAAACCTCTATATAATGTCCCTAGTCTATCACGACAGTAAAACCTCTATATAATGTCCCTAGTCTATCACTTCAGTAAAACCTCTATATAATGTCCCTAGTCTATCACGACAGTAA